CAGAAAAAAGAACGCCCAGTAAAATGCACTTAATACAAAGATCTTCTAGGTATATGATTGTTTAGGTTTTGATGAAAAAAACGATCAGCTTTTCAGCCTATCGGTAAAGTGGTTTTTGTGGTACCGTCTGTTCTTATAAAAAAAGTAAATAAGCGATACTTGGGTTTCGTAGCTACAATTAATGTGCTTGATAAGGGGCGAATAGTGAGCTTGTATGAGGCTTGTTGGTTCTGTAGAGAAATAGCCACCAAGGTGCACAGAAGTCTAAATACGGTGGTGGTTTGCTGCCAGGCATGAATTTAGGAAGGCCGTACACGAAGAATTATAGGTACAGGGTGTGTTAGAAGAAAGGCTACACACCAAGATCGCAGCCTTAGGCTTTAGGCGCTATGGTTGCTTCTCGTCCACAAGGTGAACTGCAGACCAATAGTTTGGACAGCATGGAAAGCCTATTGTAATTCGAACTGTTGATCGATGGATAAACAGTTTTGGCTTTACTTCGTACCATCCACAGTTTGTCCCATTTCTCACTCCTAGGTCCGAAGAGACCGACTGGCTTGTGTAAGGAACTGTCATTAGTGATGAATGCAGATTCTGTTTGGGGATGCATGATGACCGTTGAAGGGTGAGAAGACGACGAGGTGAAAGACGAGATTCTCAAATTTTCTATGGAAACGCATGTGAAACACACTGTAGAGAATTATGGTATCGGGGGTTATTGCCTATAGTAGCAGGTCGCCTTTGATGTTCATCAGAGGCAATATAACCACTATGCGTTACATCAAGGAGGTGAGGTAACCACATGTTTTACTTTATACAGGGTTTCCCAGAAGTCGACGTCAAGCCGAAACCGGGTGATAGGCAAAGTCATAACAGCTATCAGAAAAATATTTAAAAAAATGTTATGTATGTGTTTTGAAAATTATAGGTCTTTGAAAAAAATATAGAAATTTCACACCCTACGGCAGTCTGTCAACTCCTGTTACTACAAATATTAACTTTTTTTGGATTTTATTTTTACAATGTAATGATGAATAATGCATCTTCAAACTGGTGTCTCAACCTTACTGCCAACTTTTCTCGTTCAGGAAAAATTGCCACTTATTTCCCAACCAAGTTTTCCAAAGTAAAACTTTGCTCAACTTTAACTGGCTGTACTGGAAATAAATGTACTACGAGAGTTTGGCAAGTATCCTTAAAAGTTGGCGCATTTAATAGCGATTCCAAAATGGTAAAACACTTAGGAGATTACTCGTTAACTTATGCACAATTTTTATTTGAAAAAAAACTGATGAAAATTTTTCAAAATTTCCTAATTAAACAGCGATTATGAAAACGCACAAGGACCCTTATGGATAACTGTTTGCACAACAGTGGGCGTCAAAATGCTGCTGATGATGATTTACCTTTACAGTAAATGCTCAAACTGTTTTCCGTCAGTCGCAATACACGCTCGACATCTTCTTAAAAAAGATCGGGTTATTAAACCAGCGAATCCACGGTTATTAACAAACGCAGCTGCTTCCAATAGTCTTTGCCGTAGCTCAGCTACATTTTGAATCGGCTTGAAATACACTTTTTCTTTTACAGTTCCCCAGTAAAAAAAACTAAAGGATTCAAATCAGGTGATCGGGCTGGCCACGGTATTGTACCAGACCGCCTTATCCATCTGCCTGGAAAGTTTTGATCGAGATACTCTCTCACTGAGAGTGCATAGTGCGCTGGGCAGCCATCATGCTGAAACCACATGTCCCTGTAAATCCTCAGTGGCACGTCTACCAATAAATTTTGTACATCCAAATAAACTTCAGCAGTCAAAGTCTCTGGGAACTCAAACGGACCGATTATTTTACCATTTAAAATTCCTGTCCAATGGTTTATCTTGAAGCCATATTGAGATTTATCTTCTCTCATCAAATGTTGGTTTGCTACGTGCCACTCGTGTAAGTTATGCAGGTTCATGTACCCATCTTTCTTAAATGTGGTCTCATCCGACAATAAAATTTTTCCAAAGAACTGTGGATCTTTCCTGTGTCTTTCTAACATTGTGCGACAAAAAGCAACTCGGGGCTCATAATCCCGGGGCAGGAGAGGTTGAACACGCTGTATGTGGTATGGATGAAGCACATCACTTACTTGCTATTGCACACTTTGATACCGATCAGTACTCCTTCGTTTACTGCGCATCTTTACATGTTCGTGCTTGTTGATTTCGTACTGTTACTAATTTTGGATTCGTGAACTGGACTGTTGATCGCTTGTGATTTGGATTTGGACTGTTTAATTGCTCTTCAAAACGACATTTGCTTTCCTTAGACTATCTTTGATAGTGTGATTGTACAGTGCCGCTATGTCCGTGTACACCGTACAAGAATATGCTAACATGCACCTCATTTATGGGGAATGCAGATGCAACGCTAGTGCTGCAGCGAGACTTTACTGTGAGAGGTACCCGAATGCAGCTCGTCATCCAGATCATCGAGTGTTCACAAATGTGCACCGCTTACTGTTCTCAGAGGGCCAACTACCAAACCAATCACACGGTGAGGGAAGATCTTTCCTTCCTTACAAAGACGTGGTGGTAGGAGCTGTCGAAGAAGACCCGAGTACTTCAGTGCGTGCAATAGAACTAAAAACAGGTGTGCCCAAAAGTACAGCCCATAGAATCTTGCAAAAAAACGTGCTCCATCCATACCACGTACAGCGTGTTCAAGCTCTTCTGCACCGGGATTATGAGCCCCGAGTTGCTTTTTGTCGCACAATGTTAGAAAGACACAGGGAAGATCCACGGTTCTTTGAAAAAATTTTATGGTCAGATGAGACCACATTTAAGAAAGATGGGTACATGAACCTGCATAACTTACACGAGTGGCACGTAGCAAACCCACATTTGATGAGAGAAGATAAATCTCAATATCGCTTCAAGATAAACCATTGGACAGGAATTTTAAATAGTAAAATAATCGGTCCGTTTGAGTTCCCAGAGACTTTGACTGCTGAGGTTTATTTAGGTTTTTTGCAAAATCATTTAGAAAATTTATTGAAGGACGTGCCACTGAGTATTTACAGGGACACGTGGTTTCAGCATGGTGGCTGCCCAGCGCACTATGCACTCTCAGTGAGAGAGTATCTCGATCAAAACTTTCCAGGCAGATGGATAGGGCGGTATGGTACAATACCGTGGCCAGCCCGGTCACCAGATTTGAATCCGTTAGATTTTTTTTACTGGGGAACTGTAAAAGAAAAAGTGTATTTCAAGCCGATTCAAAATGTAGCTGAGCTACGGCAAAGACTATTGGAAGCAGCTGCGTTTGTTAATAACCGTGGATTCGCTCGTTTAATAACCCGATCTTTTTTAAGAAGATGTCGAGCGTGTATTGCGGCTGAAGGAAGTTTGAGCATTTGCTGTAAAGGTAAATCATCATCAGCAGCATTTTGACGCCCACTGTTGTGCAAACAGTTATCCTTAAGGGTCCTTGTGCATTTTCATAATTACTGTTTAATTAGGAAATTTTGAAAAATTTTCATCAGTTTTTTTTCAAATAAAATTGTGCATAAGTTAACGAGTAATCTTCTAAGTGTTATACCATTTTGGAATCGTTATTAAACGCGCCAACTTTTAAGGTTACTTGCCAAACTCTCGTAGTACATTTTTGTTCTTTTTCCGATTTTCCAATTCTAGGAAAGCGTAGGTAGCCTGCTCAAGTTCCAGGCACTTTTTTGGCGTTCTAAAGGCATGCGTATTTTTACCGCATTCTTGCTTTTATAAATAAAATTTAAGAACTAAACGACAATAAGGTTCCTTCAAAATCAATGTGGTTTTAATCACTAACTAGATAAGCTATAATTAAAAATTTTTATTTTTAAATGATAAACCACAAGAAATAGAATTAGATTACGCGAGTGTCGGAGAAGCATAATCCATTAATCAGATAGAGATAGAGAGAGAGGGGGAGAGCTCTATATTTTTTCTTTTTACTTTCTATGCCAAAACTGTCTATCGGTCTGCCCACTAATTTTGTAAATGCCTGTAACTTGAGAATTACCACTCGGATTTTGATGAAATTTTCATACAAGGTTACAACTATGCCAAAGATGAAAAAGCTATGCAGTTTTTGAAATTAGGTCTAGTGGTGCCGGGTGTCGGAGCAAGGGGAAAAATACAAACCGCTCAAACCTCGTTTTTTTACGTTCCAAACGCTCCTGAATGTTTACGGAATAATTTTTGTAGGGGTTGCATGTAGGGGTAGGTGGTTGTGAAGTCTTTAGTCAGCGCTCTCTTGTTGTAAGGTTATGCTTTCTCTTTGAAGTGATTCTCTGAATATTTGGTCAAGTATATTGACGCATTGATATGCAACAGTCACGGACTGACAAATCGACATAAATGAGAAACACGGACTTGTGTGATGCAGATACCTTTAAGCAACAGAAAACTTGTGGATACAGGTATTATCGCAAGCTTAATACTTCCATCGTTTTGGTACTCGTAGATTTTGAAAATTGATTCATAGGCGGTTGAAATAAAATCACCGGAACATGGTGTTATAACGTTTCAGGGACTACTGCTCATTTTCGGACATTGTTTGGAGGGAATGAAAATTGTAGGTTGGAATCTGTATGTGGTAAATGGCTGTAAACTGTTGCTTATTTGGTGTCAATGACAGACGTTCTACTATTATACTGCTGATCTCAGTAATTCTATGCACCTGTTAGACACAATAAGTCACACCTATTTTCCCTACATCTGTCGTCGAAATAGGAATATGATATATTCGATTTATATAGCTTGTAACTAAGTGAACCTACCTAATCACGATTAGATTCCGCCTTTGAAGCGACTTGACTAATCCCTTTTTCGAAACCTCCATCGAAGGCGTGGGAAGCATAGAGTCAATCTACTTGACGCCTTTTTTTAATTATATGGAACCTTAGCTCAATGTTATTTAGGTATAAAAAACACTGTTACATTGCGAATCTTTGCTATTCAAACAAAAGCGTACCTTCGATCTGCTTCATGGGCGTCACCCCGGAACTGTACGACCATGATCCAATGTCAGCAGTACCATAAGCACCGAAATGCGAGGGATACGACGCCGCAGTATCTAGCGGTGTCATTATTTCTTTTTGACCGATACCGTATTGCTGCTGCCTCTGATGATGCATTTGGAGCATTTGGATGCGCTGTCAAATCAACATTCCAACTGAAACAAAACGGAAAAGATATGTTACATGCACTTGCATCTTCCCTAGATATGAGAAACAGTAAATAAAGGGTAATTGTTCTCCCTAAAATAAAAGTCTGATTTCGAACTTCCATTGTCTATAAAATTTTTGAGGGCAAACATGGGTTGGATAATTAAATGTAAGTATAATAAAAGTATTTATTTACTCAATCTACAAAGAAAACAATAAATATAAAATTATAGTAAAATTTGAGTTATTAATAGAATAATTCAATCCAGAGTAAAAAGCGTGCAATCGAGTTCTTCAATCCGAATACCGTCTAAAGATCTTACACGACTAAGTGCTACATAAGCTGGTCCAACAGCAAACAGTCGCGATTCTAGATAAATGACTGCATGGTCGACTGTTCAGCCTTGCATCTTGTGGACGGTCCAAGCCCAACTCAGGATTGATGGCAACATTCGCAATGAACAAGGTGAGAATGCACTACCTTGAAAAGTCCTAAACTTCACGCATGCGCAGATCGCGAGCTAGCTCTCTCTTACTCCCCTACAGACGATCTATAAAATAATTTATCAACTCTGGCGGTGCTACTAAGGTTAATGAAAAACTGTTATCAAATTATTAGATTGTCATCGGTTCTTGATGTGTGTGCAAAGTTTCAAATTAATCAAACTTCTGGAAGTTGGTGAAAATTATGCTCAAAAAAACGGAATTATTTTTTAAAACCTATTTATGTTCAACTTTTTCACAAAGTAACGTTATCTCCTTCAAAATACTGACTTTTTAACGTTATTTTATCATAAATAATTAAAAATGCATCGAACCTTAAAAATCGAAATATCTCAAAAACGGCAAACTATAACGAAAATTCACAAGAGAGCTGTTTTATGTTGAAAAGTGCGAAGAATCATTTTTTTATTCAAAAAGCAAAAAATTGCACTAACAAAAAATTTTCGGTCATTTTAATACACTACAGGTACAGTAGAGAGCTCCCTCTAGCGGCTACAGTAAAACTATGCTCATGGTTCGTTTTGTCGTACCAAAAAACCCTTGTAAACCAATTTTCACTGTTATACATCAAATATTGTTCGAAATATTTAAAAAAAAACTATTTTAGAAAGTAAATTTAAACACCCTGTATTTCGGAAGCCACGCATTTTACGATATGCATTAATTGTCTATCGAATCTTAAAGTTATGCAACAATAAACTGAAACACCCTATATATAAAAAAAATAAAAAAGCGTGTTAAAAGGGCATCAAGAATTGTATTTGTGAGTTTATGAATTTCAGTCCATTTCAAAAATGTAAACCTCTTTGTTGCATATTTGGTGTCAGTGAAATACCTCCTATTATGAAGAAGATGATAGATTGACTTATACATATAGTTTGATATACAGAGGTCGAAAATTCATCGTACTTAAGTGAACCTACCTAAACACGATTCGATTTCGCCTTTTGAAACAATTTGACTCATCCCCCTTCTTTGAAACCTCCAATGAAGGCGTAGAAAGTATAGAGTCAATCTACTTTACGCTATTTCTTCATATTGTGATCAATTAGTAAATAAAATATTATTATTATTATTATTATTATTATTATTAGCATATCATATAACAAATATCTAGAAAAGTATTTTTGCAGACTCTATAGAAGTAAGCTCACTTAGAATCAGTGCAAATCCTCTCGGGATTCAGCTGATATGCGGAGTCTGATACAAAGTGCGTCGGTTGATTGTCGGTGTAAATTAACAGCGATGAAAATCCGCTGTTCGCGGGGGCTATCAAGCTTTCATTGCCATCGCATTTTCGCTCTCGTCTGTTTGCTTCTAACCAAGGTAGCAACGCAGACACTCGGACAATTATTGCTGTGATTTAGGGGGTTCTTGAACCCAAGTTTACTTTGGTTCAAGCACAGGGGAATCCAATGAACAAAATCGTGAAATGAGTTTCAGAAACGAAGCATATGCTTTATGGGTTTGATCTAAGAGCGCTTCTTTTAGAGTGTATGCACATTTCTTATGGCTATTTTTGTTTTGACATTTCCACGGCACACTTTGTTGTTTTGTGGCTTATGATTTTGTTGTAGGTTTGGATTTGTAGTTAAATAGTGGAGGAATTAAATGTTGGGTCCAACGAGATGCAGTCCGCAAAATAGAAGACCGAACGTTGACGGGAGGCGATACCCTCAAAAACTCTTTTTTTCTGGAAAAAGTTATCGCTAATAACCACAGCAGGATAACGAAATTGACTTTTACATGCGCTGACTAAAATGTCCTTATCCTGCATTCCTTCTACATAACTCGTGTGTTAAAATCAAATTAAAATAGGCTGCTATGGTGTTAATTCCAATACTGTACAGGGTGGTCCATAATTATTGCGACAAAATGATAGGGGTTGTAGAGGGCATCAAAATGAACAATTTTGCCTTATAAACCCCTGTTCGGAAATATGCCGTTTGGGCTGCAGCAAAAAAAAAGATCAGTTTCTTGAAACAGCTTACCTACATTAATTGCTCAAAGTGTCCTCCACCTTGCTCAATACACAGCTGTGCACGATTGTTCAATGATCGGCGAACTCTGTGGCATACCCCCGGTATGTCCTGAACATGTGCGGACGCGGCCATCACTCTTCCCAGTAGCTCTTGTTGGTTGGGAACAGGAGTTTCGTACACTAAAGCATTCAGATGGCCCCAGAGAAAATAATCCAGTGGGCTCAGGTCGGGTGACCGCGAAGGAAAAGGCACAGGGCCACCTCGACCTATCCACCTATTTGGAAATTTGTCGTTCAAATACTGCCGCACTTGTAAAGAAACCGGCGAGACCATGAAATATGCTAGAAGAACATTTTGCAGCTGGTAAATTTTTTGTTTCTCCTATGAGCTCTTAAGGTAAAATTAGCGGTAGAGCTCAAACGGCATATTTACCAACAGGGGTTTATAAGGCAAAATTGCATATTTTTATGCCCTCTACAACCCCTATCATTTTGTCGCAATAATTATGGAACACCCTGTATATAGGAAAAAACCAAATCGGTCTGACGGCGTTCCATGTGTACGAGAGAGAAGCGCGAAAAGTGTGCATCAACACATGCTAGAAAGAGATATAAGCCGGCTGAAGAGCGAAGGTCATCACCACATCGCCTAGCAACCGTGACGTCCAATCGCCGCGCGGCCAATATGTTGCACCAGAAAATGTTTAGCACAGGCTGCTTCAATATGTTAGGTTACTGTCAAACCCAAAAAGGAGATCCGTTCGAACATTCAATTTAATATTTTGTTTTCATTCTGATTAGAAGTATTTATTTCAATTTTGATGCGACTTAGTGTTTTAATTGATTTTAGATTTATCCTTGATTTTCGCCTGCGTGTAGGTACGCATGTGAAAACCATTTCGAAGCAGGACGATACTTGCCTTTCATTTCGACCTGGAGCGTACAGATTTTACACAATTCACAATTCGAAAATGTGTACGCTCAAAATGAAACCATAGAGGGGCATAGAGAATAAACTAACGCATATTTTCAACATGCATCTCAACTGAAGATGCATTCAGTCAGACAAATTTGGTTTTCAGTGTACAGTGCAGAAAGAACAAGCGCAAGTTTTTTCGGTTCAGATTCTTCAATGCGATTCAAATTCCAGTGAAATCCTGCGACTTTCAGAACCTGGATTTTAAGTGGCATTCCGTGTTTCTGAGAAAATTACATGAAGCTTACCGTGACCATTTTTCATTATAATATTAACATCTTGTAATCCATCTAAAAAAGCGATATCTGGGAAAATTCTTTTTGTATTACCAAGTACTCTCTCGATAATCCGCGGCTTGATAATCCGCCCACTACGGTAATCCGCCGTTTTTATAGCATTGACACCAACTCGACAATCCGCCCATTCTTAAACATTTAACTTGGTAATCCGCCGTCTCTGATTTGAGAATTACTGCGAATTACCAGCTCTCCGCAGTCCGCCGTACGAAACAAGAGCGTGCAGAAGTGTATAAGTTATTTGGAAAACGTAAACATGAGACATTGACTTTAGTAAAAAAAATGGAAATTTTGCGAAAAATAGACCTTGGCGTTTCGTTTACTGAGGTCGCAAAAATGTACAAAGTGGGACGTTGAAATCCTGAACAGTACGAACCATATATGGATGATACAGATTTAATCCAGGCAATAGCGGAACATGCGGATTCTTCAGATGGTGAAGAAGATGTTACCACTGTTTGTACTGTCAGGTCTGAGGAAACCTTGGAAAGTATTAATATGACTATTAAATGGGCCGAAGAAAATAATTCTACACTGGCTACATTAACTTCATTGAGACGACTCCGAGAAGATGTAATTACTAAAATCTACCATGGGAAAAGACAAACTATTTTGGAAAAGTACCTTCAAAATACATAAATTGTGTTCACATGATATGTATCTATGTCCAACAAAACAAACCCAATAAATCGGTACCTACAGAGTATGAAATATTAAGTTATTTATGGAATACAATATGTAAATATATACATACGTACATCGTGTAATTCATTATTCTCGGTAATCCGCCGTTTTTGGCAATCCGTCGCTAGCCTGGGTTTTATAATCGCGGATTATCGAGAGAGCGCTGTATTACGTGAGCTCTATGCGGGGGGCGGGGGGTCCTTGCTTTGCTTATTTCGGATGACATGGGGGGTAGGGGAGTCTAGATGATGATTACGTCATCGGTAGTTATTTACTTTTTTACACGAATGGCAACCCTCACATTGTCTTTGCTTGAAAACGAAACGCATTTTCTGGGATTCCCGCAAATAATGCGTACGTTTAGTGAACAGCGCGCGGTAATTCCCCTACTCGCTTTAGAACCGAGTAGAGGAATTACCGCGCGGTGTTCACTTCTCTAAATTTCCTCTATCAGTGTGTTGTTTCGTTTGGATACTATAGCGAGTAGACGTATTGTAAGCATAGTAAAGCAAGTTAACATTTGTGTTACCATTGATTCCATTAGCCAAAGTTTAATGTTTATATAAGATGTCGTTTCATATAGACAAATCCAAGTTATACCAAAAATTGTTTTAAAGTTTCAAAAAAACTCATACACATACGAAAGTACAAAATGTACAAAAATTAGTTAACGAAGTGTGGCAAAATTACAAATTACAAGCAAAATCCGACAAGGAACTAGATATTATTGTATCTAAGAGAATCGAAGAAGAATTGCAAGCGGCGACTAAGAATAAATCCAATCTACTAAATTAGGTACCTGAGTACTAGAAATATTAGAAATCGCCAAAAAGTTTCTGTTTACTGATTAGAAAATGCTATGGCCTATCTCGAAGTACAGAGGTAATATTCATTATATTATAGAATTATTTCTTACGATTGATTCGGTCAATTGGTCACAAAGTACAGGATGTTAGTTTTATACATATATACAGAAAACTAACACCCTGTATTTTGTGACCGCGAATTGCTCGTTTAGACATATTAGATTTAAAGCCATAGGGTTTTGTATTTACCATATACCCTTATATTGCCATACTTTGTATTTATGAAGCTTAATAAGAGAATCTTTAGCAGAAGCCGTAGAAAGTTTTTATTTTTAGGCAACCTGTAAATCTGCAGAAAAAACACAAATTATACAGTCAGCTTCAAATATTAGGAAGGAGGAAGAAGATAAAATAAAACCCGGTAATGAATCACAAGAGCAATGCGAAATTAATGAAAATACAGATAAACAGAGAGCAAAACCTTCTCAGGAAGCTATGAAAAATAAGATTGCTCTACTCGAAAAAAATGTGAATGCTTTGTATTCTGCCAGAGATACTATGCCAAGCCGTGCTGAAGTTGATAAACAGATCATTAAGTTGCGCGAGGAAATAAAAACAGCAAAATAGTCTTTAAACAGGAAGGTTCAAAACGCAGTTGCCCAGAAGAAACACAGGGATGGTATGAAAAGAAAGTTAGAAGATATTTGTCATGAAAATCCAGAAATAAAAAATTACTATCTCTGAGGGATTCAGTTGGACGTGCTAATCTTGAAAGCAGTCAACATTCATTATTGAAAACAATCGCGGATATAGCTTTATTTGGGAGTGCAGCAGATGATAGAAGAAGAACGGAATCAATTTGCAGCGTAAAAACTCTTGATGAACTCACACAAGAATTGCATAAAATAGGATTTGACATTAGTCGCAGTCGTTTGATTCCCAGAAAATCTAATTCTGCAGAGGGACGATGACATGTATCGACAGTCCCTGTTAAGCTCATTCGGGCTCAAACTGATCACCACAAGAGCCACTTAGATAGCAAGTTCGCTGAAACATCAATCCATTATTTAGAGAACATAGCATCCATACTTGGTCCAGATCAAGTATTTTTCATATCTCAAGATGATAAAGCTCGAGTCCCTATTGGCGTAACTGCGGCAAATAAGCAAGCACCTCTTCTGATGCACACGGAATATAGAATCAAATTGCCTGATCACGATTGGGTAATTGCTGAGCGTCATAAATTACCATCTGTTTATGCTGGTATCAAAATCACTTCCAATATGCTAGGACAACCGCAAGCCGTTGGATATTCTGGACCAACATACATCGCTATTAGAAGTGGAAAGCATAGTTCATCTACTGTTAATACTCAAAGATTTCCTGCAAATGCCCTACGATTATTTTTGTCCGACGGTAAAATTGAGGCTATCAAGTCGAACATGCAAAACGTGTGGTCTTTATCATGCTTCCGTGAGTTGGGTTCAGTTGGGTGAAATTAGCGCGTCTGCGAAGTCTAGACATAATAATGCAATGAAACAACAATGAAACAAATGGAACCAACACAGAAAAATCACTGAATATTAAGTTAACATGTTCATATTGTTCGGATCCTGATATGACAAAAAAAGCCTTTACAAAAAAAGTACGGCTCGGAATGCCTTCAACATTTTATCAGCGTATACTTCCATGATAGCAAGTTTTTATCAAAATTCAATAAATAATTCTGGGTGTTGCATTTTATATGTCACTTAGTATATAAAATATCTACTGTATTGATTTTATATTATACATTGTCCACTTGGTTGTTCTCTTACTGATTCCTCCTGGCTTTTTAGATAAGTAATTGGTGGTTTCAGACTTTTAGGAAAATAGGTTGCATTTCCTAAGAAGCTGAGATCACCTCAACTACATAGAAAATGGGTGGGTCCATAGAACGTGACTAGTCTAAGCAACAGGAGATCTCAGCTTTATAGGGAAAAATAATGGGAATTCTTCTAAAATGATGATTTATTCAGCTTTATAAAAAAAGGGGGCGTGCACCTACACCGTCATTAGTCTGAGTAGAGCTACTTAGCTAAGTGAGCGGCTTTTTGGTTATGAAGCCAATTCTCTAAGAAGCTATGAGATAAATAAAGACGATTTATTATTATTATATCCAAATCACAAGAAAGTTGTAACACCACCATATCTGTTCCAGACAGCAAAATTGTTTTTCCAAGTAAATGCTTGTTTTTGTAAGATTGTTATGCTTAGCAAAGCTCCTGTTCAAAAAACCTCTGTTAGTTTGTGCAAAACTGCGAATTGATAGAAACAACCATCGTAATGTAGGTATACCATCAATGGTATCATGAGAATCTGGACGTGCTTCATGGTTTTTTCTTGTTTTTGTATGAAATTAAGATTCTCGCACGTACTCATTAACTGTTTCTCACGAGCATATTTTTGGTTATCCCTGTCCTTAGTAGCTAGAATTAAGAAGCTTTCGAGGGGCTCATTTTTTTAATATACAGAGGTAAATGACCATTTCCGACGATTTATTTGATTCTATCTTACTCAGCATTTCTGCAATAATATAAAAGTCGTTGTTCATTTCTTCATATTTTTAGAAAATTCTCATACCTTAACAAAATGAAAACAAAGCACAGACGGCATTCCAAAGTTCAAAACATATCTCACTCCATCTCGCGTTACCGAAATTTACGATACTCCGTAAAACTTTTATCAAATAAATAGTTAGCGAACGGGTATAAAACGATGAGAATCTCTCGTTGACGTGCGGTTTTCAACGGGCCGATCGCGATTTTTCCGCTACGAAAAACTCGCACGCGTTTTCACGGCCAACTTAGACGGTAATGAAGTCCGTTGATAGACTGAAACCGTGCGTTTTCACACATGCTGTCAACGTAGGCCATGACAGTTTCGAGAGCTTGTTTGAGCCCCCCACCGCTTAACGTTCAGTGGCTAAGCCGGGTCTAAGTAGGCGGGGCTTAGGATGGACCGTAAATATAGAGCGATACAGTCTGGCGCAGAAGCAGATTAAGACGGTCAGTCTATGTTTAGACGGGGTGAAAGATTGGGTCATTTTATTTATTGCATCGTTGAAATACAAGGCGAGTGAATCAGAATTCGATCATCAGGAAATCTTGAAGTGACGTTGATCTGAATTTGGAGTAGAATAGTGACACCAGTAGTTGAAGACATAAGCGGGCTTTGAGGCTCCATTTGAAGGATTCGAAGATGCAACTAATCGGTCATTTTTCTGTTTCGGTTACCTAGTAGTCACTAGAAAACCGCACGTCTATCGATTCATTTTTACACCACGATAGAGCAATATATACTATACTTATTACTCCATCGTTGAACTGAAAAAATTACCGTTCTCTAGTAATTGAACAGTTTGGACTAAATAATTGAGCAACCAGTCACCAGTAAATGAATACCTAATTATTTTTACTCCCTACGCCACTCTGCGAGGAAGTGTTGAAGTCGCGAAAAATTTCTAAAATGTGATATTGACATGCTCATCACGAAAAACCATGTCACTCATTTTCATAGGTCTGGTCTGTCTGTCGGTCTGTCCGCTACAACCGCCTATAACTTCAGATTTTTATGAAATTTTCACACAATTTAGCTGCTATGCTAAGGACGGAGAAGCTTTGTAGTTCTTAAAAATCTGTCTAGAGAACTTGGAGGGTCCTGACTAATTTCAGAATTTTTTTTGTGGAAATTGATGGTGGGGAGAGTATGAAAATTTATATACATATACGAGGTATGGAACCACTATAATATGTTAGTCATTGCGTCTGATGATTGCTGGATGGCGACTTGATACATCGCCACCGGTGGATCATGCCATTAGTATCTAATAACGCCTTTACATTTTGAAAACTTGAAACTTTAATTTATGCTCCCAACCCCGATAATTATATTGGCATTTAAAACTTTTTTAAAAGGTTTACGATCCGCGTGCTCTTGATGAACGATAACGCGCTGCACCGATGCCGCGCAGACGTGGAAAGAAACAACGTTTCCACGCGGTACCTAAATAACTACCATTAGGAGAGAAAAAGAATGTATATTGACTAATTGTATGGGCTTGTTTGACTGACTTATTGCGTTTAATTTCTCTGCTGTACATGTTTGTAACTGATGTTTTTCTCGTGGAACTTTGAAATTGGAAATCAATTTTTTTTAGGGTTTGGATATTGCCCGAATCGGTAATCAGTGATAGTACGGTTCCAGCACTTTGGGGGCTTTACAGAAGAGGACGTGACAGCTACTGTTGCACTTACTAGAGCGACAAAGTTTCTGTTGGCATTTGATGGTCGCCTTCCATTTTTAATTTTCGCCTATATTGCGGTTGAAATGAGTTTAATATAAAATGAACATATCTAGTAAACAGCAACCTGACAAATAGAAAACATGGACGACGACGGAATTGAAACCCCCATCTCCTCCATTCCGCAGAGTCAACCTAACCAATTAGTCTACAGCATCAGCTGCCAACCTACATTCAGGATCGAGTGTTAAAGCTACTACACACAGTGCCGGTGGCAATGCCGCCGGGTTTATGCCGAGCGGCTATGCCCTCGGCAATACAAGCCCCCGGGACAAGCCGCGCAAAGCCGCCAAGCATCATTCCGGTTGTGACAGTCACATAGAACGCTAGTGAAGTGCATATTTTATGATTGGTTGGTTAAAATGAATAAGGAAATCATCAGCACATCCGCCGCAGTTGTAATTTTTATTTTAATAAGAAAAAAATACAAAAGGACGAGAAGGTTTTGGTTGCACCCAAGTTTACAAAATAGAAAATGGCGGAACGGTACTGTAATGATAGAAGAGTATAAAAAAGATGATGTGGGGTGTCACCGTTTGCGCAATAGCATGTTTTTTGGGTTTCTATACATCGTCTATGCCTGCGCCAGATTTGTGCAACTGTTCTAACTTCTTTTTTTCCCGAAAACAATGAGAGGTTACATTTTTTAACTTTCTCTCTACTTCGCCTTTATCAATATCAAATACACTTGCAATTATGTTCAATGCGTCCATTCGTTTGTTCCTATTCTTATAGTCTGCATTTCTGGGATTCCATAATATATAATTTTCATGAAATTTTTCAATTAAGAGCAGCACAGCTTCTTCGTCCCAATTAAACGACATTTTAATTTGTTTAAACACACAAACCGCACTACACTACCGCTCGAATGCCAGGAACGAAATGACGCCGGCAAGCCGCGTAACCCGCCGGCACACCCTGGCGGCAATGCAGGCGGCGCCTTTGCGCGGCAAGGCCGGCGGCTTTGTATGCCGCCGGGTGTACGGAGGCTTAGCCGGCGGCTTGCCTGGCGGCACTGTGAGTACCAGCCTTTACAGGCAAATTTAATTCTACCCAAGGCACTGCTCCTTTGTTCTCTAGAGCTGCCTCAGCGCCCATCCGTACGTAGGGCTCTTGGCACGCTGGTACCACGGTGTGTGCCGACGAGAAGGCATGGTGCAACTAGAAAGCGACCAATCCGGTTGTTTCAGTGATACGCCGCCAGATGGGGCACCAAGGCAGCTTGAGTACAAAGGGACAGTGGCATGGATAGGATTGAATTTGCCTCTAATAGTCGATCCTAAAAGATGATTGGCAGCTGATTTTATAGTCTAACTGGTCACCTCCATAGAATGGAGGAGATGCGGATTCGACTCCTGTCGGCACCCATTTTTCATATATCTCATCAAGTTGTTGTTTACTGAACATACTCGTTGTTGCGGATGCTCTCATCCGAAAATCGTATACAGTTAAAATGAGCATCATCACGAAAATCGTTAACTAGGTATATCTCTGTGCAGCATTCAGCTGTGACCTCTTCCCTGCAAGTTTCAAATCCATTCCAATCATACCGACACGAATACTCGAGCATGAAAACAGAAGTGACAATACCAAGAATCAGTTGTCGCCTCGTAACTTGCTGACAAACAGCCGCATAACTCAATGCATACGCATCATTCGCTCACTTGGCTTAGAAATGTTCAACTGTTGGCGAGATTGTACGGATGAGAAGGCGTGCACCAATTTGGCCCCTCCCTAAGACATTTGCGGTCACTTTCTGTCTATAAATCATGCTTTCTCTAAACACAATAACATTCGCCCTATTTGTCTTTTCTAATAGTTACAACATTCTGGAATCAGATCTGGAAACATGGCTTCTAATTGGAACAGTGAATGATGCCTACTATTATTGTAAAGTGGGATGTGATGAAATAATGAGGTTGTTGTGTGGATGATTAAATTTGATATTGTTCTGTTTTGAGTTTCATTAACACCTTTTCTGCTTTTTTTCCCTTTAGTATCAGCGGGCCGTCGGCGATCTAGCACTCTACTACCGCTAAGCCAATGGGCTTTGCTCCTCAGAGCTCTCCTCCATGATACCGCCGCGCGATGTGCCTGCCAAACAGACCCGCCTTAAATATCGAATTAACAAAGTATCATTAGACTCATCATAGCAACCGCGGTGCCTGGCATTTAGGCTTTACCTGGGCGGCTGCTTTGGTGTAAAAGTGAAGTCCCAATAAGATACTGCATTATTATACTTACTATTTTTTGCACTGTTGATTTGTATTGTGTTTGTGTGATTTTACATTATTAATCCTGTATCTGCCTTTGCGCGACACCTTATTGAAAAAATCTAATATTGACATAGGTTAACAGTTATGACTTATAGATGACATAAGATATTATCAAAGTTGAAAAATAACCTGGGAAAATGACTTTAGAATTAGTTGCTTGCAAAGTATAGGTTCTATTGTTACTTGCAAGCAACATTGACCGATAAAGGTAAACCTAATTGCACTGGTTTATATGGAAATACAACTATACATTTCAAATCATTTATTTATAAAACGAATATCAAGAAATAAACAAAATATATATTTCTAGTTTCACAAAATACAATGTGATGAAACAGCTAAATCTAATTGGAATGGAAAAGGTAGAAACAATTCTTATTTGGGGTGAAACAAAGCCTAAGATTGTACTTGGTACAAAAGATTGTTGTAAATCCATTTTCACAGTGCCTGCATCTACCTTTTATACCATAAGTTGGCCAATGACCTATGCCATCTTTTTGGGTGGTGATATCAGGTCTCGGCAGTATAGGGTTTGATATTATTTTCGCAGAGGTTTTATTAGTCGAGGAAATGGATGGTCTGCCACGAGAACTTTGTTTTCTTGCGTTGGCCAACGATTTGGCTAAATCCATACGGAACTCCTTTAGCGGTTTTAACGTTACACGTGCTGTGTTGCAGTCCTTTCTATACAGAAGCCAGGCGTTCATCACTGACATATCAAGAACCCATGTGAAAATTGGTAAGTACCATCTTTTCGATCTGCTTGGACTGCGATACGAAGTAATGAATTGGCCTTATCGACACTGCCCATGTGCCTATAGTATTGCGTTATAACGGATGGCATTATATTGGCCACGTGATCTACTCTTGTACTAGCTGCCCAAAAATCTTCTATGGTAGGAAGTTTTATTACACCCATAATGAAGAGTATAGATAGAAAATCCGTTATTTCTGACGGATTTGTATCAAACATTGCCCAAGTTGCTGAGTACTATAAAGATTTGTCTGATAGACTATTTTATCCATTAGATCAAATGAAAAAAACTTTGTAAAATACTCAATGGGAACTGCAATGTTGTCAGGTTCAGGAAAGTCTGGTGAAGGTATGTTAGCAGAAACTATGCCAGCTTCAATCCAAGAATATGATTCAGTTTTTCGTCTTTATGGTGGTGGCGGCTCAGTTTCATCGTCACTTTTTTCGAATTCAGAATTACTTTCTGGAACCAGATGCCAAGTCCTGAAGGCACTTCTTATTCATCGTTAAGCTCATTTGTTTGGGAAATATTTTGTCCGTCACTCAAATCGTCGTCTGAGACATCGGAAATATGCGGATCTGTGAGAATTACGGTCGGT